CAGGAAAGCGGCCGACGGAACTGATAACGAAGGTGTTTTACACACCTTTGCGTCCCCTATGCCCGGGAAATCGTCATTTTCGAACAGCTAATAGTTGTTTACGAGGCTTTTTTGGGGAGACAAAAACCATCCACCCCCTGTCCCGGTAGTGCGTCTGTTGTTTTAAACTGCTTAGGGTTGTAACAGGTTATGTGGTTTCAGTTAGGCACCAGTTGGAATGCTTCCGATCAGCTGCAACTTAAGGAGACCTCTTGTTGTATGCAATTCTGCTTGACCCAGATTATCTTATCTTGTCTGCATTACGCTAAATGATTATAGTGACTGAAATTTCCCTGTGTTGCTCACGATATACACGTTTACTTTTCAGACTGAGTTTGTTGGTTTTATCAAACTACGCTCATCACAGATATTCTCAGTGACATGGTATCGCGTGCTCTCCCTCCTTCTAGTGGTTCTATTCAACCATTGCAACGTTCTTCAATCTCGTTCCCACCTCCACTGACCGGTACAACAGCAGCCGCAAGTATTCTACCAGGTTCTGCACAATCCTATCGACTGACTACTACTGCGCCTAGTGCAACATCAACCACGGTATCCATTTCTATGCCTACAAGCACTACTAACCAGCCCTTAGCTGCCTTCTTTAACAACACAACCTCAAATGCTTCAGGACCGTCGTCGTCTGCCACCTGTTCATTGATGCCAGGCATTGGAAGCCAGTCTGTGCCCAGCTTTCGTGTACCGATGGAGTGTACGCATGTTGCCCGAGGACATTCTAATGCTGTGTTGGATGTGGATATCGTGGACACATTGATGCTGACCGGCAGCAAAGGTTTGTCTCTTTAGTCTCTCATGTGTATTCTATTGGGAATGTATGCTCACGTCCTAAATACGATTCCGTATGAGGTTTTCATACGAATACGGTCACGAGAAAAGGTATGCACTTTTGTTATCTGTTATTTCTGTAAGCAATAGTTCCTGTTGTGATATTATTGCCAACCGTCCTGTTTTCACCTCATGTGATATGAGAATAATAGATTTTGACTGGTCATCCTGTAGACCTAACCTGCACACACAATCCTTAGTTCACCTGGTTGATCGTAAGTTTAATGAACAACACGCTCGTATTTCGTTCGCGTTGGAGCTCGTTCGTATTACATATTCAGCTGCCCATCTGGAATTTGAACTGCTTTTCCCTCCACCCTGTAGACGTTTATGGTAGTGAACTCAAATCCGGCAATCCTCAATGGAGTACGCTTCACTGTTTCGCTGTGCTATGATAATGATGATGCTTAAACTCAGCTTATTAGTGGCATTGATTATAAGCCGTCTGGATGCCATTTTTCAAATTCTTATTGTAAAGGTCCCAACCGCCTCTCACTATAGGAATCACAACGAAGTAATGATCTTATATACGTATGTAGTCCACACGGTTCACGGTTTCCTCGATATGGGTCACTTTTTGACATCTTTTCAAATCGGGCCTTGGCAAGAAGAAAAAGACATTTTGTGCACATGTGTTCATAATGTCTACTCACCCATAGAATTCTAATTCACATTGAACAAAATCTTAACTTTGATCTCCATTTTTCATTTTATATCATTGCATGTGCAATTTTTTTGTTCAGAGTTAATTGAAACGGAACACCGGGTCATTTTTTGCCTGTGCACGTGTAAAAACCACCCAGTATTCAGTTCGCGGGATCAAGCACCCCGACACAATGCTTTTAGTTGAATTGCTTATCCAAAAGATTTCTTTTTGTTTGGTTGCGTGACGACATACGGTGATTCATCATTAGTTTTATGCAGTTCACCTAACCCTTATCTTATCATACGAAATTCTTTACTCAGACTTTGATCGATTATTCCTTAGTAATCCGTTTTCTCACGATCTTATTTTTCGCATACCAGATCGAACAGCCAAAGTGTGGGATTTGGAAACGATGGAAGAGGTGGACACCTTCCGAGATCATCCAAACAATGTTTCTAAAGTGCGCATATGCCCCGTTTCCGGCCTAATCTTTACTGTGTGCTCATACTTTATCAAAGTGTGGGATCGACGCGATACACGAAAATGTATTCGAACTCTACTGTAAGTTGGCTTCTTCTTATCGTTGTTGCGTCCTCGCGATGTGCTTGCCATCTTCAGTGTGTTTTCTATTTCGGTGTTCTGCCTCCAGACGCGGTGGAAGCATTGATAATTGAGTGATTTTCCTCTTTTTGTCGGTTGATCTGTAATCGTATTAACTCTGGCTTGGCCCGAGATCGCGTAAAAGATGGCTTTCTTCCGTATTTTATCTATCAAATGGAATTGTTCTTAAACTATGCTTTCTTCTCACTACTTGCACTCCTTCGTTGGATTCGCATTTATAGTGAAATACGAATGACTCACTGCGTAATCGGAGTGCATATTCATCATTGAATATCTTGTCTTCCATGGTTGATCCTCCAGATCTTCTGGGCTTTATCAAGACGGAGAACTTGAAACCAAAATTACCCGCCGGCAAAACATTTGCCCTCCTGGAGAGACCAACATTATGGATATAGTTCTGGGTGGCTCCCATCCCTCTTTGTCTCATACCATGTTCTTGGCCACGGCAAACTCAGTGAAACTGTGGGATTTGCGACGCTATTATTCAGTGGGCAAGCTGCACGGCAATCACCAAGCTCCTGTGATGGTGCTTGCGGCTGACCAGAATCCAGTCACAGCACAACCGCAGCTAACGGTTGTAACAGGCTCCAAAGTAAGATATACTTTATGTATGTATGTGTTTATGTTTTCTGCGATGATCGATGGCGCGAAATGGGCATCAGTTTATTCTGTCCCAACAATCCGTGCCAGACGTTTTTCATGGCCGCTCGTAACCGATACTCTTCAATGGACAGCTTACTTCGATCAGTTAATTTGATGAATGATACATTCAATAAATAAGATACACATTCATCAAGGAGCAAACCGCTGACCATGGATGTTCGGAACATTCATGTATGTTGATCTGCCCACCGAATAATCCCTTTTAATTCTCAAGAACAAGTATTTCTCCTTCTTCGTCATCTTTAGTTTTTAACTTTTAAAATTGATTTACAAGCAGTTCAGCATGCACAAATGATAGTGATTTAAACTAAAAAGTACATCACAGCAGTTTCGAGATTTTGTTGATTATCATTAAACCAGCGTGCATCGATCGATCGAACAACCCACGATACAATTATGCGTATCATTCAATCATCGACCAGCTGATAAAACCGGTGAACGCCGAACGCGATAAATAGCGCGAAGCAAATTGAGATTTTTTCCCAGTTTCTGTTTCCTCTGTTCAATGGATGACGAATTCCTGCATAAGTTGTGTCCCTGTTTTCTGCCCACTGCATCTCGTATTGCTTGCTCGTCCCAGGATCATTACATCAAAGTGTTCAATGTGGGTGCGGATGCCTCAGGCTTACTGACACCGACTTTCGATTTGGAGCCACCGCATTACGATGGAATTGAGTCACTCGTATTGCACGGGAACATCCTGTTCTCTGGATCCCGAGATGCGGCGATCAAGAAGTGGAATTTGGCTCGTGATGGTCGCCAAGAGGTCATGCTTGCCCAAGCTCATAAAGATTGGGTTCAGGTTAGTACCTTTGATCTAATGCACCTCGAAACCCTAAATGGTTTTAAAATATTTGCTTTATTTTTTTAAGGGTTTGTCAATGTTTTGCATTGTTTTAGCCGTAGCTCTTCATTAGTGCATTTTGCAAAATTAAGTTGGAAGGGAGTATAGGGGTGTCTTATTAACATCTATGGCAAATGCTGTTTTCATTCAAATTGTTGTTTGTCCTATTGGTGGATTCTATACCGTAGATATAAATTTGAATCCATCTCTGTCTCGCTTGTTCGTTGAGTGATCATTACCATAGCAACACTCACTAGATTGAAGTCTGATACGACCCCTTCACACGCGGTCGTGAACCCAGCATGTTCACGAAGATGATTGATAGCACGTAACCTGACATTTCTTTATTACAGACTGTATTGATCGTATTGAACTGTTTCGCCTTGAAAACTTTTGTTGCTGACCTCTTCAATTACGACACAAGTGTTCAGACAACTGGTTCACCCATCACGAATTCGACTCTCGCTCGTCTGAAGTTTTCTTTGACCAATCCACTATCTCTGTTTCCAGTAAACGTGTTAAACGTGGGAGCATGATTAAAAATCTCAACTTCGTACCTCTTATATCCAATAAATGTGATACGTGTCATCATTTTCTGCTGGAATCGCCAGTATGGAACCGGAGAAAAGGCGATTCAACTGGTCATTTGTGTCTTGAATTCTATCGGATGTATCGAACAATCTTGCATTTAGATGAAGCATCATGTGCATATTTTAAATGTATGATTTTTTCCACCTGATTCTCCTCCGAACGGTTGCGGAATGTTCACATTCTTTCCTACCCAAATCACGCATATTCATGCATATCGTGGCTTCTGCTACGGTCCTGTTTCGATTATCGATCTTTTTGCAGTTTTTGTCATGCTCCCTGTGTCAATGTGGGCTCCTGCTTTCTGCCGATCCAATGCCCTTACACCGTCACATTATCTATTTTACCAAAATTTGACTAATTGTTGTCCATTTCTTCGAAAAAATAAATGAATAACTCATTGCTCTGTTCCATGCAAGTTTGGTATTTTCTATTATCTGTTACTTTTAGGGACTGGCTATTACTGGTGATGGACAAACATTAATCAGTGGATGCCGTGGTGGACATTTGAAAGTTTGGAATGTGGAAGATTGCATGTGTCTGGGAGAAATGCCGAATGCCCACGATGGGTCGGTGAATTGCGTTCGTGCCTGTGGTGATCGTATCTTCACTGCTGGAAGGTTAGTTTTACCACATGGAATGTGACGCACTTATAGCGCATACTCACTGTCACCGCCGAAAGTCTAAGCATACACTACTTCCAATCACCGTGGTACAATTCTAGTCTCGTTATAAGGTTGGTCGCCGATGGTATCAACTATTCCCTCTTGAAGAATTCATTCCGAATCTAACGTCCAATCCTTACATTCGTGTTTCTTTTCTTTGGTTGTGGCACCCGACCAACACAGAATGAGACCAGTACCATACGCAAGCACCAATAGCAAGTATCGTTAGATACATCATTCGCATGACACCACACCCCCAACAACTGTCCTCTCATATTCCCTACCTCATCCTCATTTCTCCTGTTTATAAAGTGCAATAGCATTAGCCAGTCGATCAATGGTCCAAATCAAACTAGTTTTCTATCGGTGTTCCTGTGAGTATTCTATCGAATTTTTTTATGGAATATGACTAATGTATCTGACCTCAGTCGTTTTTCTTCTCACCCCCCTGCGCAACATGCCAGAGTGACTGTCAGCCTTCATTTTTGTACGTTCATCATCACCACTTGAAGGCATCACTATTTCATTCAACTAAATCCATTATTATTCTTTGTACGCGCATGCTCTGCCAGCTGAGCTACGAGGTCACACCGATAGCACTGCTTACATGCTAACTGGTGGATACCACATACCTCTGGAAGTTGGATGGGTAAATTCGAATGTGAAAAGATCAGTGCTATCGGTGTGACCTCGTAGCTCAGCTGGTAGAGCATGCGCGTGTGTACAAAGCGTAGGCGGTGTCCATGTGTGGGCTTGAATCCCACCGAGGCTACTGAACTTTTCACAATCGACATACAACATTCAAATCTGCCAAACAACAATTTGAACGATTATTATTCTGTTTCTTGAATTGAGACGTTGTCCGTGCTAGAATCACTTTCACTTCGTTGTTGTTATTTCCCGGATCCCTTTGTAGTTCTGTTCTGAACAAGAGCCTCTCGGCAGCCAATAGGTCTCCGTGATTTGATTGCTTATCCCATTTATATGCGTAGATTAAATGATACACCTCGGGGACATAGTGTAGAATCCCGAAATTTTTCCATCAAGTCGTTTGATATGAACATGCGTTGATTACAACATAAGAACTTTTGATGTCATAGTTTCGTAGTTGTTATCTTCGCGATAAACAATTAGTTGTGACTTCCTCGGTTACTAACTTTCAATTTTTCACTGCATTTTCTAAAAATATTTCTATATGGTATCTTCTGAATATGAACTGCTCCCAGTGACAAACGATGGCCTATTCGTGTGTGGCAGGTGAAACCGGTGAAGGATGTATTCTAGTTTGGGGTGGGTGTTTCTTTTCTGTCGCCCTCAAAATCAACACAACCTTCCCCCGTGTTTGCACTTCTAATCTCTCTGACCGGTTTCATCACATCTTATGGTCTCAATGATATTCGTCGTGCTTTTGATCATCTCGAATGATGGTGGTGTTGGTTTGGTTGCTCTCGGTGTCTTCCAGTTTCTCTTTCAAGAATGCACACGAAACATTATCACGTGAAAGTGAACTATACACGCACATGTCACAACTATGAAGCCAATGCTTTCGCAATTGATTAACAACTTTTTTGTTCTCGCTCTTCTGTTTCTCAGTGACAAAGATGTTCGATTTTGGCGGTTGTTGGATCATCTCCAGCGTTAGATGACATCTCCTCACCAATGAACGCTATGTTTCTAGTGACCATTTGCATTAAAAGTCCTCTGATGCAGATACGAATAATTGTGATCTCACAGAAAGACATGCGGATGAGTTACGCGCGCGGCTAAACGCTTTCACTACCATGGAAACGACCGTGGGAATTTCCCATCTGGCTTTATCACGCTTACCGCTTCTTGTCGCCCAGATCACTCACGCTGTGATATGAAACGCATTTATATGTGTTTGTGTATGTCTGTGTGTGTAAATCAAACATCATTTTCACCATTCTGCAATACCCCATTCATCCATCTATCTGTCTTAATCCACTTTTGCAAATGTACGCGGTTCATAAATCCGTCACTGCCACACTCCTGCCTCTTTGCAATTATATCCCGTTGTTCACTTTCATCCGAAAGGACAGTACACGATCCCGGGCTTATCCATCACTCATTTCCCATCTGTTCCAGGCGCATCATTCTCCGAACTTATCCATTTATTTGCACTATTTTTTTCTGTTTCTGAATCACCATGGACCGACAAACTGTCTGTTTTGCGCGGGAGTAGCTTTCCATGCTTTCCGATCACCATCACCGTTCGATTCACGCACACGTTCGGTGCTGTCATTTCGAATTGTGCTGTGTTACTCCATTTCTTAACCACTTGCCATCTCTAGCTCGTTGTTCCCGTCGAGCGTTGATCACAGCCTTGTCACAATCAGTAAAATCAGAATTCAGTGATGATAGTTCGATGGGTAGCCAGCTGATTGATTGGTTGGTTCGTTGGTAGAATATGACCCAATTGTATCCACTGTATGCGTCGAGGTGCCCGACTTCGTCGTGTGTGTTTGACTTGACTATTATTATCATTATTAGTTAAAGCCGATTCAAGTGCAAGTGTTTGTAGTCGTGTGAATGGAACCCATAGCGTTTCTCTTACTGAAGCTTATTGTGATCACTGATAGTGAACAAGTTTATCTAAAGGTAATGTATATTATGATCAGGCGGAAGCCTGAACAGTTAGAGACAGCTAGGGCGCCTTGTTATCGAGATGGAGCCACGGATTGCAAGCCTGAATGGCATACGCATATACAGTCTATTCTATGACAATGACCAATAACGGGGACCGGGGTTATTTCAAACCGCCATCAAGTGCGTTTGAGTAATCCAACTTGCTTCGATGCCATTACTCACACTAATACCTTGTACCGAACATTCGGTATTCAACTGAACGATTATTCCCAACTCATCATCTGTAGCACACGACAGTGATTGGTTCCCAAGCACACGAACAATCACCCTTGTGATTTAGGAATACTAAGTCACATTTTTCAACTTTGAGTTCCATGCTGCTACTGATAGATCATCGACAGTTTGCATTTCCTAAAGTGCTAAAAAATCCTCAAGAGGTTTACTCTTCCAGGGGTCGATGGGTAGCAGTAACGATTGAGGTTGGGCGTGTTGTGAGATTTTGCCTATGGAAGCAAAAAAAGTTAATTCAACTATAGATACCCGTGGATCCCGAGAGTGAGTTACAGACTCAAACCGACATGAAGAAATTTCTTTCTTCAATATAAATCGTAGAAGTTACCTACCAATATTGGATGGTTTCCTCGATTCCCGGCCTTGCGTATGTTTAAATAGACTGCACCAATGTCGTCAGTCGTTTTTGTTCAATTATCTCGTGCGTGTACCGGGTTTGTTGGTGTTCCATCGTTTCTGTTGCGATCTGTATTGACCTAGTGGCAGAGTGCTGTTTTCCGAATATATCATCTTAGGAATCGATTTTAGGACTTGTGTCGGCAGTAAATTGGGCGGTTGTAGGTGGGATCACAGCAGCAGCCATCTTTGGAAACTGGTGTGGTCGCGCCGTTTTTCTTTCACTAAGAAAGAGCAGTTCTGGGGAACATTCGTTAGTAGCTATCTTCAAGTCTCACTACGTCGTTGGTCAAGAAAATGACTCCACCTGGACAAATCTGTGTCCTAAAATTACGCTCACAACTTTCAATAAAGCCATTAGGGTACTTGATTATCATGGGCGTTTATCAGTCGAACGGTATTCACGATCGTGAACTGCAATCACGCATGCCAATTAATCCCATTCACATGGAAACAGGTAGGCAAACGTTGGCTCCCCGTGTCAGTACCCTCAAAAACAGGTCTTTCCTGGTTCGGAGTGTTTACTCAGACGAGTGTTGAACAACCGTATTCTTAATGCACGAAGGCCGGTGGTGATTCGTTGGAGGACCAAAAGCGCGCCTTAAGTGTGCGATGCATCGTTATCATTGGGACAATAATAGAAGGCTTCAGCTAAGAAAGCTATACGGAACGATGATAGCTTGGAAATCAGAGACAAAGATACAATAGTCCAACGATTGTCTTTTTTCGAGATGCTAGGATGCTGTAGCGTCCTCGGTAGCTATTTGATCTGATGAGCGGAGTGCACTGACTTTCATCGACGGAACCGCGAGTGGTTCGACGTACATGGAATGCAAATTTATGCAGCTGGTATAATTTTCCTTTCAGGCGTATAAGAACATCTATTACGGCTGTCAGGGCATAAATCGGACACGTGATCTGCAGGATCGGTAGATCTTACTTCACCCACCGAACACCGCTATCATCAAAAACTTCTGAGTCTGGCGTAGTGAGCGAATTTCCCAGGATTGATTGTCAAACCTTTTGGACAGTAGGCCAAGCGGGGTGGATGCTGATACCGGCAACAATGGAGTTTTTTCGATCAAATTCCCTGTGTTGATGGATGTCGTTTGGCTTTTGCAACTGTAACAAGGATCGTGTGGGATTTCTCCCATCAAAGTGGGCTTCTCATTAATGTGACTCGACAAGGTGTTAAGAGTATGTGGATAAATGTTGTCTCCATCGGGTAGATGAGTTTTTAGACGACGTCAAAAGTTTTGCTTTTAACATTCAGGGAGCGAAAGGAACGGCATTGCATTGTGAATATGTTGTGTGAAAGCAGTAAATCCACCGTCGTAGCGCGTCCTCCACCCAGTACTAAAGTATTATCAAAAGTATACCCGAACCTTCCCCGTGCCATCGCTCTATGTTTGTTCAGCAGTTAAAAGAGAATATATATGCCAATATTTATTGACACATTCCTCTTGTTTTCTCCCACCAATTAGAAATAATGACACTAACTGTATTGTTCCAAGTGTTAACGGTCGGACCTTTTTGTAATCCCACCAGAACAAACATCGGCGTCTGATAATTAAGAAAAAACAAGAGTAGGTTAGCCGATGACTTCACTCAATCGTGGGAAACCCTCTCCAGTTCGTGTACCTGATTCATGATGATTCATATAAGAATAAATCAGCTCTAGTTTTGTAAAAATGTTTCATGCGAACCCTGTTGATAGGTGTTACTTATTCGGATTTGAGTTATAGTGATAGTCCAATTGCTTTCTATCGCTGTCATTGGGGTCCTATGAGCTCGACGGTCCGTGTTCCTGACCATACCACTACTACCAGACGTTTTTGGTGGGTGACTCCTCTGTGAGCCGGCTCATTGCTTCATCTTATTGTGGTTAACCCTTTTGCTAGATTGTTATATGATGAATCGTTCACAATAGAATTGGACATACCGGTAGATCCTGTTTGTGTGTGTATATATACTTAAGTCACTCAGAGCGTGCCCCAACTTACCTTGTCCTTTCGAGGATGACTGCTTTACTGGTTTTCCGGTGGGTCGTAATGCCGCTCATATTTTACCCGAAAACTTACGTGGGTTCATTCGCACGTCACTGATACTTAACCTTAACAATTTTATATCGGCAATCCCAGTGTGCATAAGCGGCCCATAACCATTCTCCAACTGGTCTGAATGGGATTGTAGTCGTAATAGCTCCACCGGTTCTGTGTAATAAATGAGGCGCGATCTGCTGTGATCTCGTCATTCTCATTGTCTGAAATGGAGACGTAGATATTGTGCTTACGGGCTGTGCCAAGATCGACCGGTTCTGCGTGTCACGAATCAATCGGTCAGCATCTTTTCTGCTCATCATGATTTATCGATAAGTTCAAATAGTATGTCTCGAGAAGCTTGTTAGCTTTACCCCGGGCTCGACTTAAACCTGGCGGATGATTATTGTCGCGTGTGTCTTATTGGGTGTATGCCTGCATGTAGATGCTGTTTTTGCGTCACCAATCGAGGTTAAATCTTATCGGGATCGTTGGTCGTCGAATCAGTTCAAATCAAATTAAACTTCCCGTTGATACTTCACATGTGTGTATGCACGCACATTTCAAACTGCCTGATTGAAGTGTGAATGAGTTTTGTCTGTTTCTCATTGATCCACCATTAGCAGAATTCACATCCAAATTCAGATCGATTCGAATTTGAAGAACTAAATCGATCGAGTGATTTATGAATGAAAACCAAATCGAGTGAGATTATCCGTCTCTGCAGCTCTCATAATGATAAATTCACAAGCGAACACCCAGCAATTAATCGTTTTTTTTCGAATATAATTCCAACTTAGAGGAATCAAGTGCATCCCATTTAAGGTTGAACATCGTAGCAACACGCATTGGTAAATTCCTCCTTCAATGTGCGATCAACGCCGCAGTTTACATTCATTCGTCGGAAATGTGCAACTTTTTTACCGATTTCCTTTTGATTTAAAGATTTGGGGAGGCGGGACACATGAATAAGTCTGACGATTCCGCTCCGCAAAGGGATACACTTTGTGCCTCCCTAGGAGCAAGTCACTTAAGCGTTTCCGACCCCTGATATGCACCGAGAATTGGCTTTAAGATGACTCCACTCAAACAGCAGCGAGGGATTTGTGGTGCCTCTCAATCACTAGAGAATGCATCTTCTCTTCGGACGTCAGAAGTTGATACTCCCCAAGGAGTTTCATTGTGACCAGTATGTTTAATCTTGCGCCACAATGGATTCTAGCTTGTTGCTTAAAAGAACTCGCCATATAAGGTCGGTGAGTAATATTTGATCAATAATTCATTCGCATGTGGTATAAGACCTTAAAGC